CTAACCCAAATGGCTAAAAAACAGAATCAAATTTTCATCTTAAAACAGCTCTTTTAAGTCACTCTTTCTGAGCCCTGACAGCTGCACTTCACTTCAGAAAGCAGAGGTCACCATGGGTCCACTAATCCCTCCTCCAAGACTTGCTTTCAATAGAATAGCTCAGTAGCTTTCCAAGCCCTCACAGATTCCTTGGCTTGATCCTCACAGAAACCCTATGAAGGAAGTGTTCTGGTCCCAATTTTGTAGATGAAAGGAACTAAACTGTGAGCTCAAGGTGACAGGACTGGTGGCAACAGAACCAGGACTATCCTGCACGTCTTATTTTAGTACCTGCCCTCTCACCAGTGGCTCATGCCTATAATCCTAGCTACTCAGGAGGCTAAGATCAAGGGTCACGGATCAAACCAGCCCCAGGTAGAAAAGTCCATAAGACTCTTACCTGCAATTCACCAGGAAAAAAAGGAAAAAAAATGAAGTGAAAGTGTTGGTTAAATGTACCAGTCTTGCATGAAAAAGCCAAGTATAAATATAAGGTCTTAAGTTCAAGCCTCAGTATTGGCATAAAATAAAAAAAAAAACTTTTCACTCAATATTATTCTTCTCTCCCGCTCTGTATGTTCTCATATGTGGCTTCTTCCTATTTCTCATACTTTCAGATTTCCCTAACATTTGTCCTGGAAAATCTCCAATATGTATTTTCATAATTATAAATACAAAATAACTTCATTTGTCCATGCATGCATGCATGCATCCATCCATCCATTCATCTACTGTCTGGCCCAATACCTCTCTTCTCAGAACTGTTGAATCCTCCTGCAACACACACCCTCTAATTAGTCACCTCATCCTACAGACTCTACCACCTGAACAACTTCATGACCAATCTCATCATTACCCTATTGGTACAGTTTGGTTTTAACCACAATCACTTCAGTTCCTCAGTACCCTGGTCACATTCCTTCTAGACTGTGATGAGATCAGACTTTTCATCTTAGGAAATGGCAAAGAGCTCTCCAGGATATTGCTGTATCTTTCCTGTCTCCACCTCCTAAGCTCACAGTCTTACTAAATCTTAATTGTCCTTAAAGCACAGAAACTGGCCCAGAAAATGCTTTTAATAACTACCTACTGGAGATAAAGAAGAATTTTTTGTGTGAAATGTCTCAGTTTAAGAAGATATGCTCCTGGGCACTGATGGCTCATGCCTGTAATCCTAGCTACTTTGGAGGCTGAGCTCTGAGGATCATGGTTCAGTGCCAGCCCTGGTAGGAAAGTCCTTGTAACTCAAATCTCCAATAAACCACTCAGAAAACAGGAAGTGGCACTGTGGCTCAAGTGGTAGAGCACTAGTTTTGAAATGAAGAGCTGAAAATGAGTACATTACTTATCAAGCATTGTTGCCTCTTCCTTTGTTTCCCCTCTATTCATTTCCTTGCTCATGTAATTGTAATCCCCTGTACGGTATTTTCACAATAGAAAACTTATTAAAAATTTTTAAAAAAGAAAAAGAAATGAAGAGCTGAGGGGCGGCACCCAGGCCCAGAGTAAAAGCCCCAGGATGGAAGAAAAAAGATGTGCTTACTACTATTAAAAAAAAAAATTCAAACTGGCTTGATTAGATAGCTCTTTCTTAGGTAGCTATGTAAAATAATGTTTACATAATTGGCCAAACATCCAGTATGGCTAGCAAGATTATCAAATTACCCTGCTTCTTCCTAGTTCCTAAGTAAAGAAATATTATCATCACTACATAAATCAATGAGTTTCAGTGACAGAAAATAGTATATAAACATCAAAGCATATATATTCCTAAAGAAAAACAATCTACACACTCAAATTTTTTAAAGCAAACATTTCAAGGCTGCTTCAATTTCTTAGAAAAGCAAATACTGTTCCATGATTCATGCCTGTAATCCTAGCTACTCAAGGAGCTGAGATCTGAGGATCATGGTTCAAAGCTGCCAGTCTGGGCAGGAAAGTCTATGAGGCTCTTATCTTCAATGAGCTTCAGAAAAAAAAAATAAAAATAATAAAGTCGGAACTAGAACTGTGGTCAGGTTGGTAAGCCTTGAGCAATAAAATTTCAGACATAGCACCCAGGTCCCAGGTCCTGAATTTAAGCCCCAGGACCAGCATAGGCAGGGGGGGGTCGGGGAAGAAGCTGTGTGTGTTTGGGAGATGGAGAGAGTGAGGGAGAGGGAAAGAGAGAAAGAAAGGAGAGAATGTAACAAAAAAAGAAAGGGAAGGGAAAGGAAGGGAAGGAAGGGGAGGGAAGGGGAGGTGGAAGGGAGAGAGAGAAAGAGAAAAAGAAAATGAAAGAGAAGGAGCAAGGGAGAAAGTGCAAGAAGAAATAGGAAGGAAGAAAGGAAGGAAGGAAGGAAGGAAAGAAGGAAAGAAGGCAGGCAGGCAGGCAATTTTTTTTTTCTAAAAGACTTCACTGTGGAAAATTAAAATGTTTGTAAAGATCTCACATACTAAAGTTTCTATAATAAATATGAAAAGTTGGTGTAGAAACGACACTCCTCTGAAAACCACAACCATTCAATTTACAATCCAGCCCAGAAATAAAGCATTTGAATAGAAAGCACCTGTCACAAAGTCCACAGCCTTTATCCAGAGTCCACATCATTTCATGGGGGAGAACCAACACAAAATAATACAATGCAGGGCCCACTCACAGCCCAACAGCAGTGGAAATGATAGCTGATAACAGAAAGAAGAACCAGAAAAGCCTAAGAAGAATGGTACTTCTGTCTCCGTTCTAGTATTTCAAACCAGGAGGCTGGGACTATGTACTCTAACAAAACAGCTCTCTACACCTCAACGAATAGCGCTATTGAATTGGTAAGGGATTCATGATCACAAAGACAAGGCAACAACAAGGAGTAATATATCCAATACCCTCCAAGGACAGACCAAGACTTAAAAAGAAAAAAAAGCCACAAAAAGTTTAATAGCAAATTTTAATGGCAAATTTGAGGCCAAATGTTTGGACATCCATTAATTCATGGGATGACATTAATCAAGATGCAGTGACCTCACAAACTGACATGCTGAATCAAAACTCCCCTTGTGTAGCTACTTAAGCTTAATAAAAAATAAATAATAGAAATAAAAAAATACTCCCCAAATTTCAATTTTACACAAAAATACTTTGTAATCAATATAACTTCCTTTGTTTATTCTAACAAATGCATGAATCATACATCTCAGCACAAACCTGTGGTATTTCAGATTTAGAAAGTGTGGAAGCCTCCTGTCTATTCCTGTTGTGGCCAGGCCCCTCACAGATTCAAGATGGTTTACTAAATGAGAACACACCAACCTTCAGGACTTTAAAACACTTCTATAAGCACATGGTCACCTCACATGAGCTGACAACTTAACCTTGCTGGGAGCAAGAAAATCAAACAACCCTGGAGCATTTCCCTTTAGCCCTATCTAGAATAGTTGCTATGTTTAGACACACTTCTAAAGCAGTAATACCAAATTAGCTTTTACTAGAAAGAAAAATAGAAAGAAAAAAAAAAAAAGAAGGCTTGGGTCCAGGCTTAACCCAAGAAGTATGAAGTTCTATTTATTGAGATACACCGACTTTTTAATTACTTGAAGTATCGCCCAGTGCTAGAATGCCATTATACCTAATGCTGTTATAATGTTCTCATTGAAAAAGTATTTTATATCATTTCTGTAGATGGTAGTACTTTACTTTTATGATTATTATTTTGCTAGGGCTTTAGCCCCTGAAAATGTGTAGTAGCCAAAATACTACACATTCCTCTGCCATTAATTTTGAAAAAGTCAATGGCACAAGGTGATTGGAAATATCTAGAGTTTGTTGATTTTTTTTGAAAACCATTTCCAATGCGAATCCTACAAAACAAATGGCGGGGGGGCCCCAGTTCTAACCCTTAGCCCTACAGAGGTGACTTTCCCACAGAGGGTCTGATTTGCAACCTCCATCCAACCCTGCCTTTCCTGGCTGGCAGTGCCAGGTCAGTGCAATCTGGCCTCTGGGTTAGTTTCTGCACTCCTGGGAGTTTTCCATCTTCTGGCCCTTCCTCCCAAAGGCTGAAAGGTGTTAAGAGCCTGTGTGACACACAGGTAGAGAGAGAATGACACTCTTCTCTAAAGGAAGTGTGCAGCCCAGTGGCTCACTCACTCACAGCACCCACCACCCCCACCCCTACCCCCTACTCAACTTTCCAAAACCCTCTCCCTGCCAACCCATGAAGTTTGCATAGACAAATCCAGTACCTGCCCCTGGCCACCTCCAAGTGTCCTTTCTCCCTGACGCACTGCACAGACAGATGCATGCCCTAGGTCGACGCGGTGACCTCGGGGTAACCCCAAAGCCTCAGCTCCTCCCCCGGGGGGTGGAAGGGACCTGGGGGGGGGGGGCCGGCTTCTCCCCAGGCGCGCGTTCCCTTCGCCCCAGGCCTGGGCACCCCAGGCTCCCCAGTCCGTGCATCACTAGGGGGAGGGGGTGTGGGGCGGGGTGGGGGGGGGGAGTTCCACCGAGGCTTCGCCCCATCCCAGTGCGCCCCCCCTCCCCAACTCTCCACCTCCCCCTTAGCGGGAAGACTGAGAAGAGTTGGGACAAGTGTCGCCCTGCGCCCCCCCCCCTCCTCGTGCCGGGTCCCCGCCAAGTCCCGGGCCCCCACCGCCACCCGCACCCCCTCAACCATCCGCGTCCCCACCGCCGGCCACCCGCGCCCCCTCCAAGTCCCAAAGGCTCCTTCGCATCCCGCACCCCCCCCCCCCCCGTCCCGCACCCTGCCCCGCCGAGCCCATCACTCCCGGGTCAAGCACAAGGTCTTGCAGCCCGACGGGCTCCTCAGGGTGCCGGGTGCCCGGCTGTGAGGAGCCCCCGGAAGGGAGTCGGACCCCCTGCCTGACCCCGCACTCACCTCCCGGGCCCACAACGCCCCTCTCCTCCGGGCCGCCCCCCCAGCCCTCCTCCCGTCCCCACCCCCGGCTCGCCCCCCTCGCCCGCTCACCTCGCCTGGTCGCCCGGCTGCCGCGCAGGGGTGTCCGGGGCCGGCTGGGACCCGTGTGGAGCGCGCCGGGATCAGGTGTCGCCGCCTTTAAGTGACTTGGAGGGGGGCGGGGGCGTGATGAGGGGAGCCGCGGAGTCCGCGCGGACTTCGCCGAAGGCGGCCGAGGGGTGGCAGGGCTTCCGTGGTGTCTTCCTTCGGGTCCGCGGCGCGCCTCCCGCGCACACCACACACCACACACCACACACTGCCGCCGCCCGCCGCGCCCCGCCCCGCGCGCCCTCCCGCGGCCCGCCCGCCCGCCCGCCGGCCGCGCCACGCGCTCCGCCGCGCTCCAGCCGCTCCCGGGCTGCGGCCGGCGTGCGCTCGCGCCCTGCCGCGTGCTGCGCGCGCTCGGGCTGGGCGCGAAGCTCGGCGGCGTCGGGAAGCCGGGCCCACCCCGCGCTCCCGGGGAGGGTCGGCCGCCCGCGGGCCCTGCGCTGCGGGGGCACGCGTCCCGGCCTCCAGTTCCCCCCCGCGGGCCGGCCCAGGCCGTGGGTTTGGGGGTCACCACCGGCCCAGGTCCCCAGGTCCCGCCTTTATCTCTTTCTCCATCTTTATCTGTCCATGGTGGGGCTTGAACTCAGGGCCTGGGCTGTGGCCCTGAGCTCTTAGCGCTCTCCTACTTGAGCCACAGTGTCACTTCTTTCTCTCTCTTACTTTACTTTTGGTCACCAGCCAGTCAGTTGGCTGTGTGTGTGTGTGTAAAGATCAACTATTACCTGAGCTTTTGGACTGGTCCTAGTTCCGATCTGAAGTTGATTCTGGACAACTCGATGGAAGAGATAGGACAAGAATAAGCGGGAAATTATTAAGTGCCCCCCCCCCCCCCCATCTTGTGCATCTGCAAAGTAGCTAAGCCAAGACTTCACGTCTGGGCCGCAGGACCTCGGGAAAGCTGTGGAAAGCGCGGGTGTGGGGACCTTGGGGAAAATCAGTTGGGTTGGCTGGGTTCAATGACATGCTTTAGTTGGGGCTCATCCTGAAAGAGCCATTTATGCTTTGCGGGGTTGAGTCTGTGGGTACTTTATTCCGTCTCATCTGTGTGTGCCAGCAGCCTATCTCTGCCAAATTGGCGTTCTAGGCCAGGAAGCAACTTTACACAAGCCTGCTGGAGTATTATTCTTGTGGCAACCCAGCAAGGAGAGGCTAAGCATTTTTAAGTTCCCAGTGGTAGATTACAAGCTGCATGAGAACCATGAAAGTCTAATAGTGTCCTCTTTTCCTCACAGCCTGATGGCATTGTCTTGTAGGACATATAGATAGATATAGATATACACACATATATATGCGTATATATGGGTCATCCTAACATTACTTGTATATGCAGGCATGGTGTCATTTTATATATGCATGTCAGCAACGTTTAGAAATGGCCAGCCATAAGTTTTAGAAGCTACTACGCCATGATGTCACTGAAATGTTGTGTTTAAACCATGGGAATTTTAAAAAGAAAATAAAAAGTAAAATTGTTTCTTACTTGACCAAACTGAGATTTTTAAAAAGAGAAAGAAAGAAAACTAGAAACACCAACAGAAAAGCTGGGCACCCGTGGCTCACACCTGTAAAAATCCTAGCTACTGAAGAAGTTAAGATTTGAGGATCACAGTTTTAAACCAGTCCTCGTAGGAAACTGCATGGGACTCTCAGCTCCAATAAGCTACTCAGAAAAGCTGGAAGTGGTGCTGTGGCTCACCTACAGCTAAAGAAGCTCAGGAAGAGCACAGGTCCAATTCAAGCCCCAGGGCTGGAGAAAAAAAAAATTGGGAATCTCAGTATTTAAATAAGAAAACTGAATTTTATATTTTGTTATAGATACTATTACTTAGTGATAAATGAAAAAAAGAACCAAATATGTTATTTTATTTTGTCTGCTTAACAGACATAACAGATGCCTGTAATACTAGGTACTCAGGAGTCTGATATCTGAGTATCACAGTTTTCCATCTCTTAATTATCTAGCAAAAAGCTAGACTTGAAGATGTAGCTCAAATGATAGAGCATCAGCTTTAATTGAAAAAGCTAAGGCACTGAGGTCCTGAGTTCAAGCCCCAACACACACACTCACACTCACACACATACACAGTAACAGACCTAAGATCCATGTGCTCATGGATGTTCATTACTGATAGAGGGATTTTCAGATTCCATGTTCATATAAGCATAAGCACAGACCTTTACAAATTAGAAATCTTTGTTTCTGACCTGGGAAGTATATGATACTGTGTGTTTATTTCTTACTTAAATTGCACTAAACTTAAAAGAAGCGTTAAACATAGGTGATTATTAGCAATAGATGGATAAAGATGGCTTTCCTACATATGTGCAGATATGCCCATTCTATTGTATTTAAGGTTTACTTATTGTTCTCCCTGGTTTATATATGATGCTGAATTATTCACAACTCTATACTGGAAGGGTGTCCCATTGTTTAAATTTAGCTGGACTTGGGATAAATTACAGATGAATTTACATTTTTGGATTTTGAAACTGTAAGACCAAGAAATCAGTAAGACACACCTCCCCTCATTTTTAAAAATATCCCAGCACCTGTGCTAACACTTAACATTATTGATGAATGGCTGGATAAAGTGAATAATAACATTTGATTCTTTTTAAAGATTTGCTTTTTTTTCATATTTTCCCCATCCTCAAGATTCTAATCCTGTTAGACTATAGAACGTTGAATTTGACAGCATATCTATAAGGAAGCTACAACCAATAGGGAATAAAATTTTCTCATTATTTTTATGTACGATATACATTTATTCAATTTGTCATTATAGTTTAAATGTTTGTTGTAATTTTTCATAGTGTTGGGCCTATATGCTTTTCCTGGGATATAGCAATAATCATATGAGAGATAACAGTTTAGCCTGACAATCATTAACTTTTGAACTGAATACCTGAGTTTAATTTCAGACTCACTTTTTGTTACCTGCATGAGCTTTGTCATGTTACCTAACTTCTTTGTGTCTTGGTTTCTTTGCCTAAAAAATGAATATAATAATAGAATCTACTGCATAAAGTTATAGTAATTAAGATAGAAATTACATAATACTCCGCTCTTGGGACCCAGTGAGCATTTAGCAAATGCTAATTTTATCTATCTTTACTGCTGATAATGGGAGAAATATTAGTTTTGTTGGGGTCGTTACATTTACTGACAAATAGATTAAAGATATGCTATTGCTGATGGGAGCATATTTTAAAATACCTTGTTTTAGGTCCTTTGCTACCTTTCTTGATCCTAGAAATTATTTTTCATGCAGGGCCCTGATACGATCAAATTCTTCTAATTTTATACCTTTTACCATGAAAGTACCACCACTTTTTGGTCAAGCTTCCTGTTTATGCTGTTTTTTTAAAGTACAATGAATTGTTTTTTATATTATTATTATGTTCAGTTTAATAAGCACTATAAAAAAGGTGTCCCATTAAGACCTGATAAAATTATTTTATAGAGGTTGGACTGGCTGCTGAGAGGAAAGCTTCACTGGGGCAGTCTCCGCATATTATGGGGGGATCGACACTGCTGCTTTGATTGGCCTTGGTCCTCACAGCTCCAAAAAGAAATAGGATTTTGATAAGCTCTACGAGTTGAAGTCCAAAGCTCAGCAGATTATGAATCAGTTTGGCCCCTCAGCCCCAATCAACCTCTCCAGTTTCTCATCCATAAGAACAGAACCAACCAGCACCTCTCCACAAAGCTTGATAGTCATTGCACAATGGTGGTAAAAATACCAGGTACTCCTCGGACTTTTGGGCATCTTAGCCCTGAAAACAACTGGGTTTTAACCAAGAAGAAATTACAGGACTTAGTGAGAGAAATGGATCCTAATGAGCAGTTGGATGAAGATGTGGAGGAGATGCTGCTGGCAGATCACTGAGGATGTTATTGAGAGTAATGACAGCAGCCTTTCACCTCACACAGCATCACAAGTCAAATGCCCTGGAGTTGAAGGACATCTAGCTGCATCTAGAATGCCAGTGGAACAGGTGGATCCCAGTTTTCGGCTCTACCAAAAAGCTTGCACCACAGAAGGTTGTAAACAGAGAATGACACTGATCTGGAAAACAACCAAGAAATAACACATGGAAAAGTCAGAATGGACAACAATGTATTTGGAGATACTTGAGCTGAGACTTCAGCCATCTCATGGTTGAAATGTTTTTAAAATGCTTTACAGAGAGGCATATATTTTTTTATTAACAGTGCAGCAATATCTATACTGACTGAGATCTGCCAAAAGAATAAAGCCTCCTACCCCTCTTCTGGGTCCTTTACCCTTCTGTCTCAAAGAGGAGCAATGTATCTTCCAGAGAAGATTTTATTTGTGACTTATTCTATTAGTGATTGAGTATGGGACAAAGCATTTTGGTCTTGTTGGGTAAGCTGGTACTAGCAAGATTTGTAGAGGGTTTTGTTCTTCCTCCATCCCCCATTCCCTGTATTTATGATGACAGTATTGAATAAAGAAGTTATTAATTGGGGCTGGGAAGGTGGCTCAGTGGTAGAGCACTTGCCTTGTATGCATGAGGCCCTGGGTTCGATTCCTCAGCACCACATAAGCAAAAAAAAAAAGCAGGAAGTGGCGCTGTGGCTCAAGTGGTAGAGTGCTAGCCTTGAGCTGAAGAGCTGAGGGACAGCGCCCAGGCCCAGAGTTCAGGCCCCGCAACCAGACCCCCCTCAAAAAGAAGTTATTAATTGAAAAAGTAGTTTATGGATTCTGCTCTTAGCTGGGTAAACAAATATGTATACTTAGAAAAATAGATGGGCATAAAATCATAATATTTTAAATGTAATCAAGTGTCAGGTACATTGTAAGGGCAATAAAAGTGAGGGAAGAGGCTTGGGGTATAGCTCAAATAATACATTGTCTGCCCAGCAAGCACCAGGCCCTAAGTTCAGTCCCCAGTGAGGGAGTAGAGGGAGAAATAGAGATTAACATTAGATAGGCAAAATGGATATTGGAAATAATTCTACTTAGGATCTGAAAAAAAAGTATTGGAATTAAAGGGTACTTTGAGAATAAAACACTCAATTACTAACTCTTCCCCAACAGAACTAGTAAAGCTACCTTAAAGTACTGAAAAATAAAAAAGGAATCCTTTATATTTTAAACTTGAAATCTATTGCTGTGCTTTCTTGTACTTTTCTACTGTTTCAACCCC